AATAATAGCCCTACAAACACTTGTCATGAATATTGTGGACAATGGTTAAGATCTGGTTCTTCAATAGGCTAGTGAGTTCCTGAGCTCCCTTACCTTCCTGTTCGTCTTGACAAGATAAATGTTTGTCCTCCTCTGGGTTAGTGGCAAGAGAAAAGGACCTCTGTGTCACATTACATTTATCCCGCAGGAAAACAGGAAGTCATATATTGATCCTAAGGAGAAATTTCTTGACACATTTCTTGGACAAGAGTCGGGGTACAACCCGGACAGGGCAGACCAAATTCAGTTTTTACAAATTCTTTGGGCTTCATTGATGTGCCATGCACCACTTAGTCTGCTTTCTGTTATCTTTTTTATGTTGTCGACTTCAGTGAAAATATTAATTAGCTTCTTTTTATTGAACTGACAATGTTGGAATTTAGGTGCACAAGAAACTGCCAGAGCAAAATTACTCACGGCACACGAGACGCCGCCCGTGATTAGGTTATTGTAGCCAAACCGAAAACAACCCCAGAAAATGACCTGTCAGTTTTTACGCCCACAAGGATCCCAGCTTTCCTGCTCTTTTAATTTCAAAGGATCCTCATTTCACTTCCACAGAGAAGTAAACACTTGTTTTCATTCGGTGCGTTTGCTGCGGCTCGTTGAGAACACACACCCACACACTCGGAGAAGATGCAAGGCACTTTTCCCTCATCTGCACTCAGCCGTGGCAGCACGGCGGAGCGACACGAGCACGAGAGAGGCCAGAGGAGTGTGGAAAGGCAGAGATGGCCTCAGCGAAAAACAGGCGAAGGCTAATTAATCTGAGATGCACAGAGTTCCTTCCAGCGCAACAAACAGCTAATTCGGTATTCTGTGCACCTCCCTTCAGTCTGGGACACAACTCAGGAGGAAGACAAAAAAAAAAAAAAAAAGAAAGAAAAAAAAACAATGTTTAACAGGAGTTTATTTTTCTGCAAAGAAAGGAGTCAAGGCCTCCGTGAAAGGCGAGTTTTTACACGTGAAACATTCGACTTTCATTTTTCTTTCTCTACTGGTTCCAGTGATTTTTTTTTTTTATTAATCTGAAAGTTAAATTGTGTGGTTTCAATGAAGTGATGGAAAAGTATTTTACAATTTCAGTCCCTGCCACACAAACTGCTCTTTTTAGCAGCTAATTACTTTGGTTTCGCTGTTAGTTTCACTTTCTCAGAATCCAGGCCAGCATGAAAGAAAAGAAAAATATCCATTCAATCTCCCCGGGTCTCTCTGATTCTGCACTTTAGCCACCTGCGATCGCTCTCTATTGCTCTAAAAACAAATTCAATTTAGTTTGAAAAAATCTGACTGATCCCAAAGGGAAACTAAATAATTAAACAATAATAATTAAAGAATGGTGAAAGCAACACAGGGACTGGGGTAAGGTAAGACCAAAATATCCATTTGCAAATAAAATACAAAACAATTTAAAATCTTTTTGGATTATTTTCATGGTGAAAAGGAATCAATACTCAACAATATTTGCCTTGAATAGTTCTATCATTAACTACCAGCCTTTTTTTTGTTTGTTTGTGGAAACATAAAAATGAAATGCATCTAAATATAGCTCAGTGTAGATATATGTCGATTTCATTGTCCCAAATGAAAATCATCCTGGACTAATTACTGGCCATTACGGATAACTTTTCTCATATTCCTCTTGATTGTCTTTTCTCCATAATAGGATTTCTACACATTTGCTGCAGTCCCCCATCTTTCCAGACTCCAATATCCAGAGCTTTCATTCTGTTTTTTGGGCGATTTTTGAAGTTCAGATTCACAAGTTTCCTATGAGTTTAAAGTTTTTATTTCTTTATAGCACAATGAATGGACTCAATTCAAATAAAAAGTACTTCATTTATCCCCAAAGGAAATTAAATGATATCATTTATGTCATCCAAGTATCTCCAAAGAGTTATTGTGGATGGTGATGATGGTAGCAGTCAGTCTTGCAACAAATCTGAAGAGGCTTCTGACTGAATGGAAAACTAATTGATCAATATCCAGGCAGCAAAGACGATATTTCATAACAACATGTTCTGGATGACACCATCAGCGCTGCTAATCCGCCTCATTTGCTTTTGCCACTCCTCTTTAAGTCACTGCCTGGCTATGCAATTAGAAACATGACAAAAGAGAGACGTTGGAGTCAGCAATATAATCCTTATCCCAGAATGATGGATGGAAGAGGTGATTTGAACTTCCTCCTCCTGCATCTGTGGAGCTTCCTTTATAGTTACCCTGAGGTTTGGGGGTTGCATTTGAGCTTCTGAGATGCTAATCAGCCACTCTCAGTTGTAAAAACGACACCTTGCTTCCACGGTTACGAAGGGACGAATTGAAATACAAATGTTTTTCTATTCTGACAGCAAGATGATTAAAAAAATCTGCTGATGATGCTGGGTTAGAAAAAAAAATTGAAAAAAAAAAAAAAAAAAAATTAGAATATTAATGTTCATGTCCATATATTGTGCTTTTTCCTTCTCCTTCAACACACACACACATCAAGATTAATCACTGGCCACTGCCACATCCAGTCTGCTCCGTGCACTGACCTCCCTCTATCTAACACATCAGGACTGGGATACACATGTAATCTCCCATATCTCCATTAGCCATCGGCACAAAATGAGAGCAGCTGCCCCTGCGAAATCCTCACAGCTGACTGGTGGAAGCAGTGAGGAAAGTAGGAGCCTGAACCACACAGAGAGGGAAAAAAAACCCAAATAAAACAAAACAAACAAGCAAGGTTCCCCTGAATGCTTTTGCAGTCTTTTCATCACTGAGCACATTTGAATCAGCAGCAGAGAGGAGAAAGGGGAAAAAAAAAAAAGTGTTCCAAAGGTTAATGTGGATTTGGCTCTGGTTATTAAGCTTATGTACCTAGTTGTTGCTATGCATGTCCACCTAATAAACATCAAACTAAACCGATTTTTCTGTCTGCAGGTGAGAAAGTATATGACTCGCTGTTTACAACAAAAAGCTGTGGCTGACATTTAGACCTGCCTGTAAAGGTAACCGCCATCCAAACGCAGAGAGGGTATTGCTTCCACGGCGTCAAAGATAAATGCAACCCATGCCTCAGCTATGGCGCCTCAGCTTGGCTTTCGTCCATAAACCCCAGCCAGCAGACAAAGTATCAATTATCATCCTTGGAGCTCATCTCTTATCCCTTATTTAAGGAGTGATAAAAAAAAAAACTTTGAAAAGAACGGCAATTAGCGGTGATCTAGTTAAAGAGAGTTAAAGAGAGCCCTCTTTGCTGTGTTAATGTAGGTAATTATGGCTCCAAAAGGAAGTGATATAGACTTCGCCGAAGTGTTTGAGGAGTGCAGGCGAATTCTACAGACAGAAGAAGAGATATGGGTGGCTTCTCTCACCCACACCTTCACACAGGGTGACATCCTTCACTCACACACATCCACACACACAGTCGGCTAACACACTGGGAGTCTACTTGATGTCTGTTTGTGCCTAGAGCCATTAATACTTAGAAAATATTGTTACTACTGTGCTTTTTAAACAGCTAAGCCGGTAAATGTTGGTTTCAAGTTGTTTTAAATTGAGTTTCTTCTGCCTGAAAGTGACATTGAAGTTTTCAAGTGGCCCAGTTAATGTCCTGACCTGAATCTGATTGTTTTTGGAGAGAGACGGAGGGGAGGCATTCCAAACTCGATGACTCTGAGTCAAGAAAAATTAATCGTCAAAGATATTCCATTCAATTCAAAAGTACTTCATTGATCCCAAAGGGAGAATAAATGTTGTTGTAGCTCATTTAATTAAAGAATTATTGTGGCGCTGATGGCTGTGGGTTGGAAGGAGCTCCTGAAGCAGTCTGTGTTACAACAAATTTGGAGGAGCTTCTGACTGAAGACACTCTGTTCTATGACAGTCATGAAATGGACCGTCAGGGTTGTTTACATTTTTATAATTTTATTTTAAAATAATGTAAAAATATTGGAAGCGTACGGAAAGCTGGTCAGCAGTTATCATAAGAGGTTGATTGACATAATGCCAAGAAATGTTTTTCTATTGAATCTCACAGATTCATTTGCTCGTATCTTAGGAATGAAAAGTTTACATACCTTTTCAGATCATTGGGGTTTTATGATAACCACACTAAAAGTCTTTAAGCCACTTTGACTGTAAAGCTTAGGGTCATTGTCCATTAGATGTTGCTTCAATATTTTCACATAATTTTCCTTCCTCATTGTGGCATCTATGTAATGAAGTGCACCAGTTCCTCCTGGTCCAAAAAAGCCCCGCAACATGATGGTGCCACTACCGTACTCCACAGTTCAGGCGGTGTTCCCGCTCTATACTCAAAATGCAACGATGGCCACTATGGTTAGAGAGTATCTAAAAAGGGAATTAGTGGTATTTCTATGTTACTGGAGTCAAACAGTGAAGACTCCAGGAAAACTCTGGAAGTGGCTTGGCTCCTAACTCAGCAGGAAATGCTTAACACGTCTGTAAATAGGGTAAAGATGGACAATCAGATGTACTCATACTGACAAAGTAGACAGAGGCCTTTATCATCTGGGAGGAATGAGGAGAGAAGGAATTTGTTTTCTTGTAAAGCTTTAAGTCGAGATGAGAATATCTGTAAGCTTGTGCTCATAAAAGTGTCTATTATTTTTTTTCCTCAACAACAATTAAATCATTGATTCGTATCTTAAGAGGAGGCTAATTTTCAACTTCAATCCCAATGGTCAAATACACATTACAGTTTGAACGATTAAATCAATCAGACTTCTAGAGCTCACTCTGAAATAAAGATCCTCTTCTTCTGCTGCAGCCAAGTCATATAAGTTTTGTAATAATTGATAAATAATCAGCACTGGTGACACAAAAATGGCAGTGAACTAAAACAACTATTTTTTCTATCAAGAGCTTCCCATACTACTAATCACCCGTGTTGCCTCCTAACTGTTGATTTGCTCTTTTTCCAGTCTCCGTTAACAGAGGAACGCACTTACCTTTGGAAGGCTCTGTACGTTTAGGTAGATCCAAAGTGTCGTAGTTTTTGTCATTTTCACCATTCTTTCTGCCTGCATGGGACGAACAAGGAGAGAAGAAGATGTAACCAGCAGAAACGTGAATTTCTAAGGATGATGTAACAAATGAGAGACAAACACGGGTTTGGAAAGTTGACATCAGTATTAATGGGCCAGTTGGACCCAAAATGTATTTTTCTATGATGGACTTCTAAAAGACATAACAACATGGGGATGAGTTACAAGTTGGAAAAAGTCCAAATTAAACTAAACATAAATTAACCCTGGGCTGCAGCTGATGGGAACACAGTCACCTACGTAGAAACAAGAGTGTTTGGATTTAAGAAGCACATAGACAGCATTTATGGTCATGAACCCAAAAAAGATAAATAAATAAAACCGAAACGAAACCACTTTCATACACAGTTGTTAACCTGACGCACAAGCAACGTCCGCAAACAAATACAACTAAAAACAACAATCTATGTTGTTGATCTATTTGTTCAAGAATTTGGCAACAAATTGCAGATGTTGAAATGAACTTTGTTTACATACAAATTCCAATGGGATTTTTTTTTTTTTTTTATGTAGTGCATTTTTTTGAATTGGAAAGAAATTCATGGGTTTTTAAATATTTCTACATGTAATTTCTTTCCATGTACAATTACATAAAAACAGATTTTGCTGAATAGCGGATTCTAAATTGAGAATCTGCTTCACAGCTGTATTTTGTGTGCAAGTTTTTTAAGGATATTGAAATGTGGGCATAGTTCCAACCTCTAGATGGCGACAAAGCAGTTATAGTCCATTCTAGCTCTGGTTATAAGGTAAGGGATGTCTCGCTGAGGGAAGCCTCCAACAAATCTTCTCTAACTTCTTTAGTTCATCTCCAGAGCATAATGCTGCCAACACCATGCTACACAGCAGCAGTGGATGGAGACAGGAAAGTTTGTCGTTGGGAAAGTTAAATCGGGAATGAATATTTTCTCAAAGCAGTGTAGTTTCACTTTAATCTTTCAGGACTCGTGTATATCTTGTGTTATGTTGCTCAGAAAACCCCAAATATCACATCAAATAAGACTGCAAGAGCAGCACAATAAACATTCGCCATAAAACGATACATAAATTTCAAAGTAATTTGTCCTCAATACACATGTAGGAAAGACGAACAGCCAGTGATAAGAAGAGTTGCTCCGAGCTGGACCGGTCATGCGGCTGAAATAGAGCAATGCAAAGTTAGACGGACGCAGAAGGAACAGGAGCTGCCAGACACGCTAACGGCTAACGGTGTGAGCATTACTTAACAGGTAGGACATGACTCAAGAAGAGAAGAAGACACAGCAAATGACATTGTTGACAAGAAGAGCCAGAACAGTTGTGGAGATATGAAGTTCAACAAAAAACAAAACAAAAAAGCATTATGCGCATTATGTCCAGTGCATGCTTATTTCTATTTCATAGCTTAGTCTTTCAAAAGCAATATTTAAAGTGAGCTACACGAAGGAAACATGAAAGAGTGACAAAAATAGAGATTTGTTTTGTATTGTGATATATATTGATATCAGCTGATATTAAAAGAAATTGTTCTAATTAAGTTTGCAGCAATTGGATTAATCGTGATAAATCAATAATGGTAATGATCAATGACGCTTTGACATCTATTCATCTTTAATATAGACTCTAAAAAAGGCCATTTGCTGAAATAACAAAAGAGAAGTGATAACGCAAAAACTGCACAAAAATATATAAGCATTTTTGCATTGAACAAAAATCTCTTCCTTGTCTGTAAAGATGTTCTACTCACTACTCCTCCAGGGACAGTTTTAGCTTCACCTGGTTCAAACTCTGAAAAAAAGTTAACAAATAAAATGAAACAAAATAAAATAATAACTACCAGCAGGTCAGCCCTGCACTGTATTGATGTTAACAGCTGAACTTTTCACATACTGATATTAGAAGCTTTTTTTTTTTTCTTCAAATGTATCCATTGGTACAAATTATTAAGTGGATATTGGATTTTAGGCAATGAACTAATTTGTTTTTGGAAACTTTTTATGCATTTCTATTATATTAAAAAAAAGCTTTACATGCTTAAATGAAAAATCGGCAGATTGTAGCAATTGTTTTATCTAATTAATTGATCATCAGAATAATGAATAGAATACTTGATTGCTAAAAAAAAAAAAAAAGTTAGCTGCAGCTTTTATTGCTGCAGGAGTTTTTTTCCATATCTACCCAGCGCTGGCTCACATCAAGTGAAGTTTCAACATTCACAACTGCACAACTACAAACCAGTGGCAATAAGGTTCATAATTATGTTTTTATAAAGCCCAGTTTAGCAGCTAAACTAAATGAGAAACACTTTAGAGAGCATTTGCTAAACCTTTCTCAAACCTTTCATCTAGGATATAAATCATTCTTTATATCCTAGAATGATATACAACATTCTAGGATATAAATCAGAGACTTTAGCTCTGAAGTTTAAAATATCAACAAAAAAACATTTGACTCTGAGCTGGGGTTGTTAGCTATGGCAAGGGAATGCACATGGAATGAATACTACAATTTTCTGAAATCCTTGGAAGTTTCTCAGGGTCTTCTGGAGGACACCCAAAACTATTTCTAACTGCACTCTACAGCCAGGGGGAGGCGAGGGAGAAGACGGAGAGGAGGAGGGATGAAGATGAGGAGGAGAGCTGAGAGGGAGGAGAGAATGGGAGGGGAGGGCACTCACCTTGATTAAACCATTCCTCTACAGATATCCAAGGAAGCAGCAGCAATGCCAAAAAACACAAAGCAGGGAGAAGAGAGAATAGGCATGGTGAAAAAAAAAAAAAGACCCGCGTGCGTGAGTATGTGTGTGTCAAGGAGGTGCAGTGTTACACACGTCAGCACAAAAATAATTCATTATTTCCTGAAGGTGAAGGCTGTAATAGACGGTTAAGAAAGGGTGTGTTTCTGTGTGCGCGGGAGGAATGAGAACGGTGTTACACGGAGAATTTGGTGACAATACACTAATAGGCAAAAAACAGATTCCACTATGAGGGAAGGGAGAAAGTCAAAGAGGGAATATGTTTAAAAGTGGCATCGAATGTCAGAGTGTGAAAAAGTGTCTATCAGAGAGGCTGTGTGGGAATAAGAGCCTGGAAATGTGAACGACCACAGATCTGGACTTCAATCTCTATGTGACACTGTGGTTAGATCTAGTCTACATTCATTTCAGCTCTACAGAAACCACTGCATGTTCACGCTGTTCTCACAGAGCATGCTAACAATTATTTCTCCCTTGGAACTGTGTCTGCTGTTGAAGGCCAGATCTTCTTTTTCCAATTCCATTCCTGACAACATCATTTTTATCTTCTGCAAACTGAAAATAAAATGTGACCTGGCAAACTGACAGCAGGACTTTATATTTATTCTCTAACAAAAACAAATGTCACAAACAAGGGAGACACTGCAATTCATTATTTTCTTTACAAAATAAGAAAAAGCACTTTATGTTTGAATCCCTTTAAATGTAAAAATATCCACAATATGAATAATAATGTCTGTCTTCTCCAAATTGATATTCTAATGCAGTTTTTTTCAGCATTAACTGAAATTTCAAAGTGTATCTCATATTTATTGGAGTGAAGCCCGCTTACATCAGCGGACTGTACAAGAATGGCAACATAGGTGTTGAAATCAGTTGCCATAGAAACAAAGACCAGCTTTTCAAAATAAAGGAGCCCCTTTTTTCTTTGATTTGCTTGCAGAAACACCTGTTGGATTTTAGGATTTTTACACAGACTGCTCAAAGGGCCAGAAGGCCACATCTACTCTAACATGTAAATACTCAGTGTGTTTATAGACATGTGGATAAATGATTACAGTATAAAACTGTACATGTGGAATGGGCTTGATCTCTGGACTGATAGTCAGTCTGAGGTCACTGTTTGGTTGCCATTTTTCATCAGCTGGTTAATTTCAGATATTATTGTTGGACAGGAGGAGAACAGTTTTGCCTTCCAGGAAACTTTATGATTCCTCTCTTTCCCTTCCCGTCTTCTCACCTTTGGCCTTCTTTCCCCCGAAGCAGCCAGCATCATCCTTCTTTTTCCTCTGTGGCCCTGCGGATCCGGGGGCCTGCAGGGCCGACGGGTCCTGGAATCTCTCGGCGCCGGGCACCTCTTTGTGCACGTGATAGGAGAGGTTCCTCATGATGCAAACGCAGTTCTCCACGGACTGCGGAGAGAGGAGAGACAGCCGTAGCATCGGCTGAGGCGCGTGCGGCGGAAGCCGGGTCGTTTCCTCACCTTGTTGTCCATGTCTTTCTTCCCAACGGCAGACTGCAGCGCATGCAGCAGAGCGTCCACCAGGCCTTCGCATTCCCTCAGTCTGCGCCGAGCCTCTGCCCCGTCTGAGCTCACGTTTCTGCAGGACGAAGAAAGCACAAGGAGTTAGCGTTAGCACACGTAGGAGTGTGTAGTCCTAGCATATTAGCTATACACATGCCTGGAAAGTAAAAGGTTTAAAGTAGAATTCATTCTACAACTGATTGCAGCTGGTCAGATGAGACCAAAATGGGACTTTTTAAACTAATCGCCTGAACACACAATGACACAAACACGGTGGTGGCAGCATCAAGCTGTGGGGATGCTCTGCTTCAACAGAGACTGGAAATCTGCCGAATGAAGGAAACTCCTGAAAGAAAACCTTTTAGAAAAACAAAATATGGTTTGAAAAAACATAGTTTCTATATGACTGTACTCCTAAATTAATGATTAACTGATTGTAAGTTTATTGTGAAGAAGGCTGCGTCAAGGAAAGACGTCCCCGATGTTAATGTTAGAATGTTAATGCTAACATTAACATTCTAATGTTAACATTAGCATTAACATCAGAATGTTAATGCTAATGTTAACATTCATAGTCCACATTTGTAAAGGAGTATTTTTCAAAGAAGTTACATGAATGATCAGGAGTTTCTGAAACTCTTGAAAGCTGTACAGCACTTCACACCAATAACCTAAACGACAGTTAAAAAAAACCCACAACAAATATCTTTGTGCAGTTTATACTTCAATTCAATAATTTAGCAACAAATATGTTTACACTGAAAATGCTGACTTTGTCCACATGTAGTTTTTGATTACAGTGTAATTACTTGCAAATATGAATAACAGATACTGCAATTAACTATTGAAAATGTCAGTCAAGTACCAACATTTTAAAGATAAGTTAAATTATTAATATCACATTTTTTTCTTGGTGTCAAAGGGGAGAAAGGTGAAAAGCCATCCCTCTTACACAGTGAGCAGCCAGAGCACAACTGGTTCAGCAGCAGCAGCAGCAGCAGAGCTGGAGGAGTCTTGGTCTGACTGGCTGTGAAAGGCAAGGCTCTAAAGAGGGTTAAAGGATAGACGGGGCTCCCCGCTCCTCACCCGGGACTTCATTTATGATGGCTTCCAACCCACGTAATCCCATTAGCTGACCCCCAGTCAGTTCTGTGGAGGCTGGCAGCCTTGCAGAGGTAAGCAGAACTTTCTTTTTCTTTTTTTTTTTCCCTTTCACGCTTTTATTGCTGCATCAACGTCCAACACGGCTGCAGATTAAGCTGGGTCCGAGCGCGGGTGTATAAAATGACGCAATTATAGTAAATATATTTCCACAATTTTAGTATTTTACTTTCCTTGAGTGTAGAGAATCGTACATATATGACCATGCATGCAGCTGTAGGAAACTTTGTCATACCTAAAGCCAGAACCAACACCAAACTAACCCTTTTGTATAAAGGAATGACACGAGGATACACCGATCCAAGTTTTTCACTTCTGATACCGATATCTGGGGTTTAGTGTGGACCGATACTGATATGATGCAGACAAGTAGAAGTGCTTAATCAAATAAAAACCTTCTTTCAAATGTTAGTTACATTCAAATGTTGGTTCATAAAGTGAACGGCTAACCTGAATAAATTCACAAATATTAATAAAATATCTTAGTAGGAATCATATATATAGATTTACGAGTATATGTTTGTGTATTTGCGTGAACAATTGATATGTATTTGTTCGCAGAATGCAGAAAGAATAATTGCATTATGTTGTGTAAAGGAAAAGTGTAAATACATCTCTGCTTTTTCTTTTATCAATAAATGTACAGTTTTCTTTAATTCTTCTGTAAATATAAGGGGATCTTAACAAACAAACAAGCAAATGAGACGACGTATCAGCCACTTTGTAAACGCGCAAACTGCAAAGAAAAGCTACTCTGCAGTGGAGACCTGGCCGGCGGGACAGTCATAGATCTGAACTCGTCTGTCAAAAAAAAAAGAACAAGGCTAACCACCACCTCTGCAAACACATCCAAAGCAGCGTCTGCCTCTGATTTATTTGACAGGGGGGAAGTTCGGGGGGGGGGTGTCTGGCACAAACTAGGGTTTTATTGGCAGCTGTTTCATTTTCTGGAGCCTTTTGGGGCAGAAGGGTCAGACGTGGGAGGTGTGTGGATGGGCATCTGTTGGTGAACACAGTCGGGGCGGTCAGGGAGGCGGTGGAGGAGGCTGCTGCTGTCTGCTGCTGAAATATTTAATCCTTCAGATGGTTTATGACCTTTTATGTTTCGATGAGTATCGATCCGGAGCCGTCCTGGCATTTTAGCACCTGTCAGAGTTTGCAACTTCATAAGAACACTCGGAAAGCGGCGAGGATGCCGCTTTCCGTTCACTCTTTTCCGAGTGACTCAGGCCCGCTCTGCCACAACTTTGCATCAACTGCTGCTGTGACATACACCGGCTCGTTGCTGAACAACTCCTGGAAGCGGTGTTGGGTTGCTATGGCAACAGTAAGAGGAACGTTCAAGTGGAGCTGCAGATTTTAAGGTTTAGCTGACATTTTGGAGGATTGCGGGTGACATCGGTCTGACTTTGTTGTGCGCTTCCAAAACGAATAACCAATTCAGCAGATCTGGTAAAATGAAGCGTTTAAAATTCCTACAAACGTACAATTTTCTCTTTTTATGTCCCTCCAACATTTAACAAGCATTACATGCGTCCAAGAGTTGGTTGGATGACTGAACACCAATATTAAACCATAAGGTGTTTCTACAATGTGCTGTTTTAAGAGTTTGCACAGCTGTGAAATCAGGTCACTGCAGTGTTTTCACTTTTTAAAGATTTAAAGTTTTCTTTTCTCTCAGTCTAATTTGTACAGGGCATCCATCACATTAAAGGTGGGAAAAAGATACATGGTGTGAATATTTTTTGTTTGTTGAATTGCCTTTCAATTTGCTGCCTTTAAATTATATGAAGTACTCATGGCTTGTAGATTTTTTTTTTTTGATAGGCTTTTGCAACGTCACAAGATTTATTTGAATTCAGTGTTACAATTTTTTCCCCAAGATTTAGTATTATTTTTTGCATTCAAGAAGATTAGGGCAACTGGGAAAAAATGTATTTGACTTTAGCTTTCAGTATCCCTATTTTTTCCCCATAAGTTTGCTTAAATCTAAGCATGTACGTTTTTTATTGTATAAACCTTTTCAAAAAGCCTCATTCTGGTATAAATGATCATTTTGCCAGCATTTCCATGTGAAAAATAATGAAGATTTTGGGCTTTTCTGCACTGTGGCTCTAGTTCTGCCAGTCAATCCTTAAATAAATGACCTGGACATTTTCACTGGCAAGAAAAAAAAAAAGAGCAGAAACTAGACATATAACCTTTCAAAGAAAGCAACTCCTAACTTTCAGGCCACATTTTCTCTTATTTTGAGGGTCTCGGAGAGGAAGTAGTAGTGTACTCAGAAAACCTGCAAGGACACTTTCAGGCCTTCTTTACACTTGATCTTGATGTGTCTGCGGTGTCGGAGCCCTTTCAGACAAAGCGTGGGTGTGAAGGTCACGCAGAGCGGCTTGGTCATCAGAGGACAATGGAGCAGCTGGGAGGAACGGGCTGCAGCAGGACTGATGGAGATGGATGGAGACGCGGCTGCCCTCTGCTATCGGCCGGCAAGGTTAACAGCAGCATTGCGGGGCCATATGCTCGCCCTCGAGTTAGGCTTTTACCACGCCGATCCCAACTCGGATTTAACTTATTGATTTTGCTTCTCATCTTGTTATCGGTCGGCTAGTTCTCACAACGGCCGGATAAATAAAGGGCAAAAAGCGAAAAAAGTAAAGCTGACGTGTTTGGTTGTCAGATTTGAAGCGCACTTCATCGTCAGGTTTCATCACGTCACTGTTATTGCAAGGATCTACTCAAAGATTACAGAAGATGGAGTGGTTGTATTATTTTTTTACTTTAATTTGCACATTTTAGTAAACATTTGCATATTTGTTGCAATCTGTACAGCTACATCAGTTTGATGTGTCCTTAAAGTCAATTTTATATTTTTTTCATTTCTACTAGGTTATTGGCCTATTAAAGGTATCACAATACACAACAATATGATCAATAATAGCTTCCAAACCAAACCAGTTCCTAGGCCTATCACAATAAGCCATAAGTCATTTAATTGCATGATAAACTAAAATGAGCTCAATAATTTCCATTTGAATGATTTATCGTTTTTCTCTCTTTCCAACAAAAGCTTTTCCAATAAAAAGTTTTTAGTCTGGTTCATTTGTCCCAACTATCTCTTTTTTGTTAACTCTTTTTTTTTATTGACAGACTTTATGACTCATTTTTATTCTAGATATTTAAAATGTCGTTCATTTCCAGTGTCTAAATCCTCATTAGAATTTAAAAGTTTCCTGATTTTTGAGAAGGTGTTATTACGCCATTACTGTTATATTACTTGAAAATGGTCTCAAAATGGCAACATTATCATTTATTGCAATAACATTTGGGGCAATTTATCATGACAGGCCTAACGTACTGCTCCTATGACTTAAAATCCTTTTTTATGGTTGTCTGGCGAGAATTTTGCAATTGTAATAAGTAGGTTTTTGTTTTAGCAGCAGCAATAGGTAGTACTCTTGTGTAAATATCTTTATGTTTAATATCATAAAGTCTCCATCTTCTTCTGGTCTATTACTGCGCCTACAGATGTCTAGGATACACAAAAGCAAATAATTTGCATTTCAAAAGAAAACACAAATGGAGTGATTTGCAGTCTGAGCTTTGGGTTTTAAACAAAAGAGATGGGAAATGATCTTTTCTTTTATAGAAACTGAAAACCATTCTAACCCACAGACCACGGCTCTGTGGGTTAGAATCTGTCATCTTTGGCTGACGACACATTCCCGATTCAGAACCACCTTCCTACCAGTCACAACGAAACGCAGAAACATCTCCTCCCCGTTTCCTGTTTCGGCGACTACGCTGTTGGTGTTGTTTACACACGCAGGTCCTTATTGACGGCATAATAAAATAAATAAATAAAAACCTATTCCTGGCTTCGCCGAGGACTAAGTGGGTCTCCGTCGGTGAACAGATTCTCCGTGGCATCAGCGCTTCTCCCCCGTGCACAAACCCTGCGTCTAGGCAACTGTGGGGCTTAGCTACAGTTGCTATGGAGACGGATCTTCCTCAGCAGGACTGGCGTCTTGGGTCAAAAGGAGTGGAGGGGGCGACGGTTAAGATATAGCGACATGTGACGAAAATGAGCCACGTACAAATCAGGGGTGTTAAAATGTCTGCAACCTGAACTCACAAGAGGAGTAGATAAATAAAATTGCGAAACAAAGCAGCAGGAAGTGACAACAGCGCCCCCTCTGAGGCCCTGATGTCAAATGCTGCGACTTCTCGCAGCTAGATCAAAAAACTTTCCCTCATTCCCTTCTGGTTTGCCGGTGTTGATATTCAGAGCAGAAGGCTCAGAAAGTAAAAAGCAAGTTTCCACACTCGCTTAAGGCGGTGTGCAACTGTGTGTAAGCGGCGCTGCCTCTCGGCGACGCTGTTCTGGACATCGACCAGAACAGCAAGACGAGCCGTGTAGACTGCAGTCTAGACAGGCCTGGCTGGCCCAGGCAGGGCAGAGACAGCGCGGCCGGACATGAGGCACGGTAACACACACACACACACACACACACACACACACACACACACACACACACACACACACACACACACACAGGCGCAGTTGCACGTTACTACCGTCTGTCACTCTGAGAGGAAGCCAGAAACACAGCCGGGGGAGGTGGAAGGAAGCTAATGGATGGAAAATGGAAGCTGTTCTGATGGAAACGAGAGGAACATGAAACGAGGGAAATCACATCTAAAAATACATGCTTTAATTTTATTTCATTTTGTTTTATATGGACCCGCACAACTTTTGGTTTGAAATAAATAAACATAAACACGTTTAGAAATGACATCCTCATGATCGATCAATCAATCAATCAATCAATCAATCGGCTTTTCACTGGAAAAATTGGATGGATAAAAAATGTAGATCGTAAACGAGATAGTTTTATGTTTCATTGTTTTTTGATGGCACTTTTTTAAAAAAGAGAGAAAAATTATTTTTTCATCTCTTCAAATACAACAGTAGATAGCAAAAACACAAAAACTCACCAAGTTTTTTTGTCTAGTTTCTAGTACAAACATCTTACTACACTTGAAATAAGAAAAAAAAACTAACTTACAAGTAACTTTTCTGCAAGAAATGGCAGCTTTTTTGAATAAATAATTCCCTAATACTGATGAAAAGGTAGTAGCTCCAATACCAGATAATTTTACTTTTAACTAACAGTTTTTCATCAACATTAAGAACTTATAGACCTGAAACAAGCTCCCATATTAGAAGTTACTTGTAAGTTAATTTTATCGAATTTAAAGTGTACTAAGATATTTTCACTAGAAACTGGACCAAAAATACATAAGATTTGGTGTTTTTGAAATGTTCCCCCTACAAGCTGCATATCTAGAAACAACTTCATGTGTTCCTCTTTCTTAGAAAGCAGTTTTGTATTTTCATTAACTTCAGCACAAAAGTAATGTATTAACTTTTCCATATTTTTAGTTACGTTTATGGGGATACCGTTTATGTGATTACTTCTGCCTACGTGGCATCGCACGTTTAAAGGTTTGTTTGAACTTGTTACGGTAATGCTGGCATTAGTAAAATAGAAGATTCATTAAAAAGGCTCCAAAGGCCTTTGGTTTCAGATTAACAGGGAAAAAAAGAAAGAAAAAAATCCTGCCCATTCAGTAACAGAACAACGTTTTCATAGTAGTAATGAGTTCTCAAGACGCTCTAGGGAAAGAAGACGACGTCCTCCTCGACATTTCCAATTTGAATCAGAGTAACCTAAGTGATGAAGAAAACACTGACGACATCAGCTGAAATGTATTACAGAGTAAAAGTGATCAGAGCGTCGAGAAGCCAGAAGCGTCTGTCAACGCCGGCCCGGAAGGAGGGCGAGCGTTAAAGCGGCTCCCTTGTGATCAGCTGTTGAAGCGAAGCTTGTTGTAAGGAGCTGTGGGAGCAGCTGAAGACACTCCTACCCTGATTAGTTCAAAGGCTCGTGGAAATATTAGGTTTAGGTTTCAGGTGTTCAGAGTTAGCATCACAGTTACTCGGTTGAATTTCATTTGGCTCTCGGTGCAGGAGCTCGCAAATTCAATCGTAAGATTGAAAGTGCGGTCCGTCCCGTGAAGAGCTAACCAGAGGCTGTCGGAATGACCGTGTCGCCGTTAGAGTAAGGAAAAGCCGTCACACTGAAGTAGTTTAAGCTTGACCCCCTTTTGTGGCGATGCCTACGGTCTAATTTTGAAGTTATAAGGGAAGTAGATCTAGAGTTACCCTGCTGAGGTGACGCAGTCTGCTAATAAACATGCTTGGTTTGGCCGACTGGTAACTCTTATGTAAGCGTGGAAGACGCCGCCTTCTTTAAAATCATGTAATCTGGCAGGATTAATGGGACGTGGTTGAGAACAGACATGGAGACTGAGTGCATTTTCTATCACCTCCTAAACTAAACAGATATCTTACCGTTTTCGGCTGAGTCCGAGCTCCAATTCATGTTAAGATCAAGACTGATTCTGAACCGAATAATTCCTCATTAAACAAATATTCTACGTTTTAAAATGCATAAAACCTTTATTTGCTATGTAGAAAAAAAAAAGACCTTTTCAAAACTTTTCTGCCATTAGTACCCAGTCAGAATAAAACAAGCGTAAAAAGCAATACCATAACTAGCCAAATCCGGATTGGAATATTCTGTGCTGATTACTAATTCTTTAAAACGCTGTGGTTTGTTAAAGCTTTAATAATGAATAAGCTGTAAAATCTCTTCAGAAGTGATCGCATGTGGATAAACGGAGGTCGGAGGTCCGCCACGAGATGCAGTTCGGTTTAATGTTTTGTCACAGACAAAAGTCGCCCAGTGATCCCAGTACAGACGGCCCAGGATTCCTTACATACAAACATCCACAGGTCAGGATGGGAGGAATCCTGCATCTGCTGCGTCATAAATCAATAAAGCACCTATAGAGCTTATATCGGACCCGACCCGCGGCCCACTAACAGTTTAATATACACCACACCTGTCTCACTGTGCAACTGGCATCTTAGTCACAACAAACATGGAAGGGCTTTGCTTTGTTGCTTTTTTCCTTCCACTGTGTATATTAAAATAATCCTCGGTTCAATCCAGGATCATCACTTAAATGTGTGCACATACTGGAAACGCTGAAGATTTAACTTGAATGAATGGACCATCTGGCTCCTCATTTGCGCCTGCTGTCTCTCTGCGTTTTTTCTTCTCCTAAAAACTGGTTTGGCCCACAAGTTTTTAATCTGTCTGAGCTTTTAAAACATATTACTGGCTTTCTTTTTTTTTCTTTCTTTTTAAAACAAGACAAGCCAATAATGTATTTTTCTAAATTATCATTTCAAAAAATTTGGGAACATTCCCTGGAAGCCTTTTTAAATCTAATTTGTTTCTCTTTGGATGAAGCGGGAGACAGTCCGAGTGGGACTGCAGCTAATTATCTTTCGTCCGTCCAACACGAGCCAAACGCTGGTCCAAAACCCAAATATGTACAGTTTTCAATCAGTCCCGAAACCAACAGAAGAGCTGCACATTTAAATAAATGAGATTCCGCAAACTAATTTGCCAACTAAAGCAACTTTTTTAAAACTAATATTTAAATACTTCCCTTTTACTCAAGATCAATTTTTAGCTCTTGCATAAAAATCTGTTATTTTTATGCAAAACATTTGCGGTGCCCTGCAAAAGTTTTGAACGTTTCCACATTTGGTGAATTTGCAACTGAGAGCTTCTATGTATTTTATGACCAATTGAGGACAGAATTGGACAGTGTGAGGGGAAGGAGAGATGGCATGAAATATTTTAGATGTAAACATCTGACCAGTGCAGCTGACTGTTAGTTGACATCACCCACTTTGCTTAGCTGGGGGGTGAGAGTTTGAATGGCTAAAGTTTTTTCTCTGCCAACATCCCCCAGAATGCATCGGAGGTCAATGAAATGACTGAAAGTCTATCTATTGGTACCTATTACATTATATCTATTGTGATATTGCTATTAACAGAACAAAAACCTTAAACATATCATCAGAGCTGCAATGGAATGTTTCAGGTAAAAGTCCTGATCTAAATACATCTGAGAATACAATTAAATAGCTGTTAACAATATTTAAAAAATCTAATTTGTGTTTTATTTTATGTTGAAATCTTTATCAAATAAATGAAGTTTGCAAAGTCGCATGAATGCCGTTGGAAAGCACTGATTCAGGAACTCGCGTTTTGAGCAGGTGACCTGTAAATGTGTGCTGCGCATCGGGCTGAGACGATCCTGTGTAGAACCGAGTTCGGTGCGGACCCTACCGGAGGCAGCCGGACGTGTTCTTGAAGACGGTGGTCCACTCTGCGTCCCGGGGCTTGGAGTCCTCGTTGGGCTCGTGCTCCCACCCCGAGTGAGGGATTATGACCTCGTTGGTCATGGTCTGCAGCCCGTGGTTGATGATCACCATCTTCAGGGGCTCGTAGGACGACAGATTCCAAAGGGTACCTGAGGGGGGCGGCAGAGAGGAGAAACAATACAGACGTTATGCAACAGCGAAGAGCTCAATTAGAAAAAGTATGGTCACGAGAAAAAGGAAGAAGCCACTGAAGATACGTTCAATGACATTTGACAAAAGGTGACGTTAGAGCGGATTAAGGTAGAAAAATGGGGAAAGTGATCAGAATGAAAAGGGCAAAAAGAGATAAAGAATGAGAAAAGAGATGCGAGGCAGCCAGAAAGGAGGAGTGGAAAAAATTGTAGACAGAGAATGAAAGTGATGCAACGTAGTGAAAGCTTAGTAGCAGACAAAGACAAGTCAAGCAGGCTTCACGACTGAAATCAAAAACACATTTAGTTCTGTCTTAAACCACCCACAAACTGGACTCACCAGAATGTCACATGTCTAAAAAAGAAAATCACTATGTGAACATTTCACTTAAAACATGTTCACAGTCAAGTTTTTTCACCTTAACAGAGCTCGTACATGTCAGCCAGCTTTACTACCTCGAGAGCCACCGTAACCATTTGTTTCGTAGATGCTGCGTGCGTCCGGTTCATTCTCTCCCTATGAAATCGGCACCGAGAGAAATTTTACGCATCAGTCACCTTGCAAACAACACGAACGGAGAAGCAGTGGCTGCACATCTAATCACAGAAAAAAATAACCTCCGGAATGCTTTACAAGAAAGGAAAAACAGCAAAACACAACAAAACAAAGGAGGAGGAAACAAAAAGAACACGGAGACATGCAGGAAACCAGATAGAGTTTGCTTTCTGCCAGAGAAGCAGGAAGATCAAGCTGAGTGAAAGAAGAAATATTTGGAAGCACAGCTACGCAAGTTGCAAAGACAAAATATTCTGTTCCACGGGATTCTAACACACGCTGTAGTGATCGGACCGCCAGTTTGGAAAACAACAATGTATATTAGATTTGCACAAAGATATGAATTGTGCCCGGAAACAGGCAGATACAGAGGAGTTGGAAGGTCAACAAAAATTTCTGGTAATCTTAGAAGAGTGAACACAGCGTGCATAAGCACTGCAGGGTAATGTCAAGGTAATGACCGATGTTGTCAAAGTAGTTACTTTGGGAAGAAATGAGCTACTATCAGCATCAGTGAGGTGATCAAGCAGACATGGAAGAAGCTTTTTAAAAGGGAACTGCATTTTCTACTTCATATTGAGATGACCGGCTGCAGCATGGAGAGAGAGAGCTAAACTTCAGCAGGTAACAGGAAAACTCAATGTTTCAAAGCAGAGTAGCTCTGTTTGGGCGTTCAGCCTGTCCATCATGGAATATAAAAATCAAGGGTTCAGAGCAGACCACATGTCTCAAATTTTATATGACTAATTTACAGAATACTCAAAAGCTTTTTCTGTCATTATTTCCATTTTTGTGCCTTCAAATTCAGTCAAGATTTCAACGTACCTAAAGTCATCACCAATAAATTAGAATATCTGTTCTGATGAGACTTGTCAGATCAAAAGTACTTTCTGAAATTATCCCAAAAGCTGGCGTTAAACATACTTTTTATTAAGCCAACACTGCTTTATTAATATGTTTCTGATGTAAATAATCTATTGTGATGTCATGTTTGCATCAACTGTAAGAGGAAAGTCATTATAATTAGCAGGAATAAATGTCCACCTGTATAGTTTATCTATATAAGGTGTTTCTGAAATGAATGGGCTTTTCAATAATACTCAGAATTATGCAGTAGCTCTATATGTTGCTGACATTTAATCAATTTCTATTGCTCCATTCTTTGTATTAAAGTGTGGGATGCAAACCTAAAGTATGAGTTTTCTATACAAAAACGCATAATTTGTAAAAAAAACTAACATATTCTATTGTTTATAGGTGGGGGGAACAGTGCTAGCCTGTATCCCTCTCTTTGCCCCCAAGCATCATGCTTTCAAGAAATAACAGCTGGCAGCTCAAGTATTAAAATTAAACATAGATTCACACGCTTGTGCACATGCACATGCAGACATGCTAAATGCGTGTGTGAACACAAGCCCACAGAGGCCCGCGGTGTGTGGTTGTGTTGTGCAGCTGAACAGCGGACCATTAGCAGAGCACTGGAGCCGTCGTACATTCTGGCACGGCTCCTTAATAAAGTTCCTGTACATTTTCCAGACGGTCAGTATTTCCTCTGTGCAGTCGTGCTCAGACACACACAAGAAAAAAAAAGAAGCTGGACTAAAAATAACTCTCGGAGTGGTTGAGAGAGACTGTTATTTGCTAAAAGGTTTGTTGAATGAATGAATGAATGAATGCGCATTTTTCCGTTGTTTTTTTGCGTCTTCACTCCAACTTTGTCATTGAGCTGCAGAACATATCCGTTCAAAAATAGACATATTCAGAAAAATCCTACTTAGTTTTTTGGAAAACAACATATTAGCAAATGAATGGAGTAATTTTAGTAACCCTCGGGAAGAAAAACTTAAAATACTGCCTGACAGACTGAATCCAGGGGCAAGTTATTCCCAAAGCACAACAAAACCAAAGCTAAAGTAATTACATTGCTGAATAATTGTGTGCTTTGTTCACAGTAAATTTCATACCTCTATAATTCAATATTGAGTTATTTCTTTACAGCACTTTGGTGATATGTTTAACTTGAACATATTGACATGATTTCATCAGCATAATTAAAGATTATTTGTTGAATCTTTGAAAAGCAGATGTCATCCTAATGTTGCAATAACATTGTAAACCTATTTGTAAAATTATATTTTGATGACAAAATAAGATTTCATTCAAATGATTTGCAGGAGTTGAGCTTTAAAACCATAAAAAGTCTTCCAACACTCATTTAAACTGGTGGAACAAAAGCATTTTTACTCTAACAAACCATTTAAAAGCTTGCATGACTGTTTCTGCTAAACTAATGCATTTGTCAGTCCCAGATGTTTTGCTTCAGTAATAATTCTACACAGATCCAATCAGTAAGACCGGTGCTAGACAGAAAGCACCACTGGGCCGCTGGGTCCCAATTACTCAACCTTGATTTTTTTTTTTTTTTTTTTCCAATCATGAAGCTTCACATTGCCATTCTACCTTACTATGTAGGTATAGGTATTGAGAGATGGATGTTGAAACATGAGGACAGAACGTGGATTTAGCAGCATATCAACAGGTGTCGCATCTTTGAAGCATGTGTATGTCAAAGTTGAAACTCCCCCAGTTTGAATTATGTGTGGTTTTTTATGTATACTTAAGGATTAACTGACAATCTGGGAATTAAATTTTAATGCTGCATTAGTAAGCCTAACTGGTCAGAAATTAACCAAGTTAAGCATAAAGTAGGTCACGTTGTCTGTTTCACTTTCAGTTTTAGACATCAAGTATAACTCAATAAATCATCATTAGTAAAGAAACATCTGCATAGAGCCACATGATATTAAGTAGTATTAATTAATCATTGCTTTGATATCTGATCATGTAAATTCTCCAGCAGTGAATCTACCAATGAGGTACATATTTCTGCTGTTATTATATTATTATATATTCCAGACCACTCAGGTCTTCTGGTTCTGCTCTGAATCTACAGAACCAAAAGTAGAGAAGCAGCATTCAGCTTCTATGCTCCACAAATCTGGGGAAATAAACTTCCAGAAAGCTGCAAAGTAGCTGAAACACTGAGTTCCTTCAAAACAAAACTAAAAACCCACCTGTTTCGAGTTGCTTTTGAACCATAATAAATGAAACACTGACCAACATATAGGATGTGCGTCGGTAATAAAATTTAATTCTTGTTCTCAAACTGGTGACTGCATGATGCCATTGTGACTTTTTTAGTTTTTGTGTCATGATGTGAAGCACATGTTGAACTTTGCTGTTGATGAAATCTGCTGTACAGAAAAAATTATTGAAACACGTGGGAACTGCAGAACTCGCATTGTGTAATTTATCCAGATGGACAAAAAGTCTGTGCCAACCTGGAAGTTGTCATATCAGTGTGATTGTATTATTAATGTCATAAGAACAATATTTTTGGCCTTTCAGTCCAACTAAAGGGTATTTACTCTCTTTCCATCAGTAAAGATCTGGACATTTAGAAAGTAAAAAAGTAAGATTTAGAATATTTTGCTTCAACTCTTTTGGATTTTCTACCTGATTGAACATAGACAACCTTGTGAAAGGTTTTCTAAGAACAACAAAAAGTATAATTTAGCCAGTCACTGAGTAGTCTGACGCTTACACTGTGGAAAAATGTTTTAGGTGGCAATTCCCAATAAAGCTACTTGCTGACTAATATGAATTTTTTGGATTTTGGTCAAGAAACTATACATTTAAAAAACTACGAGAACCAATTAAATAAACTTGATGCATTTCATAGGAAAACACCTCAGTATACCACAGAAATAAGTGGCAAAAATAACTAAAGTGTGTGAAAAACTACATTTCTGCCCGTCACAGAACTTTTTCCTACAGCTGCAGCCGACTACTTGGCATAGGCGTTGTCCTTTCTCATATACATATGATATCTGATCATATGTATATGATCAGATATCATATACATATGATATCTGCTATATTACCTAGACACGCTGAACTGCTAACTGTGCAGCTGTATCCATGGCTGAGTAAGCATCAGTCCAGAAACTGCCTCAAAGAGCCAGACAGCTTCACTTCAGCTTCTAATGTTAATTTAAACATTCCAGATGGAGGCTTGGAGCAGTGAGACACACCAGCACCACGCTACACTGCTGTGTGTGCATTTCTTTTATTCCTTAACAACATAAAAACGATCTCGCAAGATATAGTGAGGCTATATAGCTCAAACAGCTTGCGTTATGAGCTCACTTTAGCTTGTAAAGGCGTGGATGAGTATTAAAAAAGTATTTGCCTCTCCCAGAATAAACTCAAAGGATTCAAGTCAAGACCATCTATAGCAATGTATAACAAATACTGAAGGTCTGGAGATCACCTCCTCAAAGTCTTTAGTGACATAAAAGTATTCTTTTTATTGGCCAATTTGGATCTCACAAAACTCTCT